CACAAAGTGACCGAAAAAACTGCTGAAGTAAATAATCACAACACAAAATCAGTGCGCAACATTAGCTGAACCCCTTATTTGTTTATGGACTCTATGGAATGGACTTTGCCGACTTTTTTATTTCATAGAGGAGGTTCGATATCTATTTGTTTTGAGATAGAAATGGTCAGTTAACGAGAAATGGGCGGTGAAGGATGGAGTAAAGTTTGGAGGTCATTATAAATTTAGGACATCCCTTGTCATAGTGAGGCACATTTTTTCTAAACGCATATGGGTGTGAGTCTAATTCCTGGACTGTAAAATCATTAAATTTTGAGTAGGAAAGGTCTTTAAATACATTGCGGTCAACTTTGAACCAGCAAAACTTCTACGATACGATTAAGCAAACCCAGACCCAACTTTTATATTTTAGGAATTTTCGACTGTTAATTTAAAGAAAACAACTGAATTAATTTCAGTTGTTTTCAAAACAACAATATATGTTTCTATAACAATTACTGATAATTTATATTACAGGTGTAATCACAGTCAGATCTACTTTCATTGTTGACAATCTCATTCTGACCTAAAAGACATTTGATATCCTTAAAGTGTGAAACACACTGAAATCGGGTGCGGGACGGGCGCGGGTCGGCTCGGGACCGCAGCGGGTCTAATTCCCGTCCCGTACGCCTGTCGTCGTGCGCCCGTCCCACGCGCCTGTCGTCGTGCGCCCGTCCCGCGCCCACGCTCGGTGTGTTGTCGTCCTTATAGTACACGGAATTAGACTCGCCGTGGTCCCAACCCGACACGCACCCGACCCGCACCCACTCTCTGTGTTTCACGATTTAATGTTGTGATAGAAATGTTTCGAAAACCATCTTTCTATAGCCATAGGTCGTATATACATACATGTTCACTTGTCTGGGATGAAGATTTATCTATGTCAAGATTGTATCAGATTAAGAAATTAATACAAAAGATAATAATGTCAAAAACAAATGAGGTTGGTATATTCTTGCGAAGCCAATTCATTTACTAAATATTTACAAGCAAGCTCGTAGGAGATAAAAGGCGTCCTATCGCACAAGCAGATTACATGTCAACATAAATATTAGGCAAGGCTACAATGACACCGCTCTGCTGTTTCAGTTCTGACAAAATGTTGGTTTACCGGAAAGGAGGAAAACCAGCCGACTTTGACCGATTTATTAGCACAACTAACATTATGTTTGGTCCATTCCACTCAGCAAAGTTCAGCGGGGTGGAGACCACCGCTTATTGCTACGTTTTTTGCTAGCCCCTCGGTAATAAGTACCGTACAGTTCATAACTTATCTGAATGGTTATGGCTCGCGGCTATTTACAGGACCTCAAACGAAACTTAGAATTCCGTCACGGTTCTTGAAATAAATATCTTGAATTACAGTAAATTATGTATGTACATCATAGCACGAAACAAATATATCTACAGGTACAGTCACTGTGTTAGGTACACAGTGGCAGTATTTTATTATTATAATTCAATGTAATTTATAATATTTATCTCGAATAAGTTCATTGCATACAAAATATGCTTTTAAACTTTCGCGTTGCATTATATCAACATGTCAAAAGGGAAATAAACGCGACAAATCGAATGACTTGATTGAAGTCAGCCCGTGACCACGCCCTGTGCACCATGGCCAAAACGTCGGGCTAATATGTAGATGTAAAAATACCAATTAAATCTATTTTGCTGCGTTTAGACCCCGTTTGTAATGTCAGTATAATTGCATGCGGCAAACTAGAAAATATAAAACTCCATACTAACAAGATGTCACTCTGAAATAGGAGTACTTGTGCAAACGAGCACTGAAGGTAAACAGATTTAACGTAGCTACAGTTTAGTAACGGACTACGGTGACATGTCTGATAGAATTTACTCGAATTTACTAACTATTTCGAGATCAGAACTGCCGTGAACCTAATAAAAAGCCAAACACATTTAGCACGGTTCGGGTCACCTCTAAATGATAAATACAAACGAAGGAGAGAAAATTCAATTACAAAATTACAGTTACACCTACGTGATCTACGAGGCTCTCACAATGACGGACTCGACTTTTTCAGATGTTTATTTGGGTCGAGTCTCCAGCATACGTGAAAACTTCCCCCGCGTCACAGTATTACTTTGCAAATATTGACGATTTCGAAGTATCTCCTAGATTATATTATCATCGGCTAACGAATTTTCTTCTATATGGCACAACCGCAGCAAACTTCTCTATGGAGATCCGAAGTCAAGAGTTCTTAACTGTGTTTGCTCTTTTTCAGAATTTCATTAAACAAAGTTGTTAGGATATTTCGTTTCGTATAGTAAATATATGTTTACTACTGTGTCTAGTTAGTTAGTCTCCTGACGGCATTGCATAGAATAAACATGGTTCTAAGTAAACACGCATTCGATCCAATTTGCCTAAGAGAAACATTTTATTTAATATACTTAGGCCCAAATCGCCGGTACTGTAAAGTAGTTACGTCGTGACAAGAAAATGGAGTGCTAATTTATCAACATGCTAAATATATTGCGACTCATACAAGATTTGTTGTTTTGTTATTGTCTTTAAAGTTATAGGCCACCGCGGCCATACTTTCGTTGGCAACGATTTTGTTTACAATTTATTAACCTGCTATAATATTTATTATTTCAGCAAATGCTATGTTTTTTTCATTTGAATACATGATTCAAAATACCTAGTAAAAATATTAAATATATCGAGTGCGATAAAGACAAATGAAATAAATAATACAGGAGCTGGTAAAGTTGATAATAAATTGAGTAACGTGTCCTGGATACAACATTGACAACATTTAGCCACTTACTTCGGAAATAATTTTCTATTAAAATCTTACAACATTTTTACTCTCACGATTAGATTAACACAATGTATACGTCATGTACGCAAATTCGCGTTTGAGCAGTTTTATTAATTTCAATTTGTAATTTGTAGCGTAACACGATCAATCACTGTGTGTTCCATTTTCCTATGTATGTTTGATTTATGAAATTATACTTCAGGGAAGCGGAATAAGAAAGTTCATAAAATCAAGTATATAGGCAAATCATTTCGAAGGACTAGGTTTCAGACGAAGAAATTAAATTCGAATTCATGAATAAATATGTACTTTATTAGCTTCTCTACAGCTAAAAACTTACACAATTTAGCCTAATTATAATAACTTAAATACTATACGTATCTAGAATAGCTAGTAATACAAGCATTGATCCATTAAATAATAATTACGTTTCTTTTTCGTCCATTTTCAAGTAAAATTGAGTCTGTATTGGCATTACATTTACGAAAATACGGTGATGTCAAGAGGAAATAAAATTCTGCACCTATCGCGTCCCAAAGTAGACCCTATTACGATGTTCGTATCGCAGCAACAACTCTTCCACTAAATGAGGTTTCGTACATAGACGACATTTGTATTTTGGCTAAGCTTACGGTTCGATGTTTGGTGCTTAAAAGACACAACTCAAAACGATACGATTGGAAGTGAACCTTAATTATATTATTATCATTATAATTTATGACGCATTACCATATTATTTGCGATTTTTTAAATTACATTATTACCATTATGATTTATAAAGCATTGCTAAATGATTTTTGGTGTTCTTACGGAAAAAGGCACAACTCAAAACTATAACGATGATGATTTTAGAAGTAAACTTGAATTATAGAATTACATAATATACCACATATTAATACGGTTAGATTTATTTTCATGTTGTTGTTAGCATTATCGTTATCGGCGTAGTAACAGCGTAGTGATGTCTAATGTGAGCGTTAGGTTAAAAATAATTATGAAGCAACATTTCATAATTATTTCATTTTCAGTTCATTATTAGTTACAAATTACATTTTCAAGACTTTCTATGCAACAGATGTTTGAATCTGCTGGGCAAGTAGAATATAGAGTATAACCCCCACACGGCGACTGTTAGCAGCGATGCAAACGCGCTTTATAGGCGATTGCATCGATTCATACGCGCAATTGTATCGATACAAACGCGCGATTGTATCGATACAAACGCGCGATTGCATCGATCCAATCGCCTATACATGTAGCGATAGACGTGTAGCGATGCAGTCGCGCTCTTGCATCGCGTTTGCGTCGCTGCTTAAAATCGCGCGTGTGTGTAAAGATAGATTTTTTATTTCTTCGCTTTATTCAACATATTCGCTGCCGTGACATAATTCAATTAAACTGCTATTTCCAATTCATATGAAAAATTTTGTTGTTGACCGTTTTTATTAAATTCAGAGAAAATCTAGTTAAAAATTATAGGACGAGCGATCTTTATCACTCGCTCTTCATTACATCAATTTTTACCGGGTATAATAGAAGAAGTTAAAAATGAGGTGAGCGACTCCTGACGTACTTAAAATAAATGATTTTATATTTGTGATTTATACTTCTGCACATGTGGAATGTTGTACATTATCTTAATTATGTATCTAGTTATTTAGTCTGTGGCGTAAAAAGTTTTATTAATTTATTTTCTTTTTTTTTCTTGGTTATATTGATAATTTCCTATTATTCTTTCCTGTAAGTATCTAAACTGAGAATTACTCCTCTAAGAGCACAAAAGTTAGCGTCGACACGGCTTGAACTTGTATCAGCAATACAAACGCGCTTTTGTGAAGCACTAGCGATTTATAGACTTATTGCATCGATGCCGTCGTTTATGGTGAATATAAGTCGCGCGTGTGTGTAAAGGTAGACGGTTAGCTACTACATCGCTACGGAAAGTCGCCGTGTGTAACCGCCCTTAAATGCATCTAAAAGCGCACCATACATCAATAAACTTAAGGTGGACTTTCAATTACTTTCAAATAAATTCTAGTTTTAATCAAAATGGCATCTTAAACTCATGGAGGCATGGTGGCTTTACGTCTCGTAAAGCGCCACTTCCAATCGGAAGTGGCGCTTTACGAGACTCTAATCCTATTATTTTAAAGTAAAATTCAGTACTACCTAATGAAGACCCTACTAAGTCGGAAATATCACGTGGATGTGATTTTCAAAGATGTATTAAGATTGGGTTGACATTTAGTGTTTGTTTTATTTAAATCGGTCTTCAAAAAAAAATAATATGTCAATGTTAAATTGCATTGCTCGCGCTTTGGACGTTCCGCATACACAGTCGAAACGAAGTGCGTGCGCTGACCAATATACGTGAAAATAGCGTAGGTATACTATAAAAATATTACTTAACACTACTTACATAATAGTCCGGGACACGATAAACCTATACAAATCTTTTAAGCCAAAATAGCGTTTTTTATTTTACAAATTAAATGGAAGCTATAGGTTATCTTTAAGTATACTCATTAGGTATGTACAATATTTATTATTGCTTAAAGAATTAATTTGTCATGTAGGTAATTTCATGAAGATAAGATTTTTACAGCATGTTATTTGGCCGCATAGTTTAGGAGGCAGGTACGTAGGTGATACTTATTAGCGCACAGCATGTTTACAATATAATCCAAGTTTTTCAATCATAATCACTGGTGAAATAAAAAAACCGAATTGATATCAACACGTCATATTCTTTTTTCTTTGTTTTGTTTAGTGACATGAGATGTTAGGCCTATACATATAGTAGAATGTTTATTTATTTTATTTTTACTTTAAAGCTACCAGCCCTCCTATCTACACTGCCTATGAGTTATAGCCCTCTCTGTAGTTGCCTTTTGTCGTAATATTACAGCATAATTATATAGACAATGGTACACTTTGAAAAAAAGTACTTATACATATAAGGCGGTCCAGTCCAAAGTGTAAGATTTAGCTAATATTTGGTGCAAGTTGAACTCACCTTGAAATGCTCCCTTTATCTGCGGATTGACACAAATGGTCTGCAATCGCTATAGCATATATACAAGTCTCTATAGGTATCCAATAATGGATGATACTTTAAAGCAAGCGCTACCACCGTTTTTAGCATTTCCGGATATTGTACATAGATTTTAAGTTTTTAAATCTGTATTTTTTGTTGTTATTTCACAAGACTAATGCAATGATCTTAGGTAATATAAAAACAGACCGAGACTATACTGTGCAATGCAACTTGTGAACAGTACACAGATAGAATGATTCTAGGGCATGTATACCTAAAATCTTAAAGTTGAATGTTATTTTGCTTAAAACATCACTATCTTATTCCATAAAAGTTAAATAACTGTTCTGAATTGAAATTATTTACAGTATGTAATTTTAATAAGCAAATTTTATTTTATATACAAATACCTGAGTAAATACATACTAAGTATACTTAAACATGTATTAAAAAAGAAATATACTTCTGGAGCACAAAAAAAAAACAAATATTCCGTAATACAAGTCCCGCATAGGTACATATCTTAAAGGCACTACTATAAATTTTTTATAAATATATTAAACTTCTTACAAATAAACACACTTAATAAAACCTACATACCTATGATATAATTGATAATATAATTACTATAGTAGGTACTTATCTAATGCACGGTTATCGCTGCGGACTGTTTCTGTTTTCCTGCAAGCCCCTGTCATTGTCAAATTCCCCCTCTTCATCCGAATGCTTGGGTGAAGTGTTGCTTAAAGCCTCAAGGCTCTCTACAAAAAAAAACAAATCATAAAGTCTTACTCATACTGGAGCTTCTGCTGTCCACCCTTACCAAATGGAAGATCAGTCCAATAACTAGAACACTTGTGTCCAAGAACTTAGTTCTCGATGAACTTCTACTTATGGCTTGCTACATACAATATGTGTTATGAAACCTTGTACAGGATTTTATTCATGTGAATCTAATGAGAATTAGGCATCATCAGTAATAATAATGTGCCAGGTAACCACACCTATTACCAGTAGGGTTAGCACAACAAGGCGCGACTTGCGCGAGAGCGACATAAAGCGCGAGATGTCTATACGAGAATAACAGTATCTCGCGTTTTATGTCTGTCGCTTTCGCGCAAATCACGCCCTTTAATGGTAGCCCTACTGGTCTCAAACTAGACAACTCCCTGCACTAGGAGTACTAGAGCAATAGATTTCACTATGGGGCTCTACCGAAAACACCCATAATAGAAGTAGTGTAGAAAACGATTATCACTAATTTCAAGCTTCTTACAAGGGTATGACTTCTTTTTATTTTCCCGATATTTCGGAACGGTTGCACGCTCCATGGTCACGGGTTGACTGGACGGCGGTAGATGACAGCTTTAAAGGCAGAGAGACATATCTGTCTACCTTCTTGCGCTGTCGACGACTAGTACCTTCACCGCGATTTGCTGTGGCATTACCATTGTCACTCATTTTTTTTCACAAACCACACTCCCTGTGTCAACACTCGAAACTGAACTATGCAACTCGATCCAGTGGTTAATGTCAGTCTGTGTGAGGTGTTGTGTTATAGGCGAGTTCTGTGCATCATTGTTTTTTACTGCTCGGATGTGTTCCTTCATATGATCGACAATTGTACATTTAGCCTGACTGATATATGAGCTCCCACAACGGCAGTTCACTTTATAGACAAGAATTAAAGTAAAGGAAGGCGGTCTTTTAGTGAACGTAACATTTTTCCTATTTTGGTCAAGGGCATGAAAACAGTTTTATGGAAAACTTCCTTAGTAACCTGCCTATTTTATCTGTCACCCCTTGTACGATGAAGGTAGTAGTTGTCGACAGCGCAAGAGGGTAGACAGATATGTTTGCTCTTAAAGCTGTCATCTGCCGCCATCTAGTCAACCCGTGACCATGAAACGAGTAACCATTCCGAAATATATAAAAAGAAGTCACAATGTGGTAAGAAGCCTGAAATTAGTGATAATCATTTATTGAATAACCACAAAAGCCTTAAAATATATGTAGTGTAAAAGTAGAGATAGGTAGAAGGTTAACCCACTTTTTAAACTTTTGATAATTTATGTTACGAACCATGTTACCATTACAACTTACCAATTTGCAAAGTATTTATAACATGATTTTTCAGCAGCTGCAGAGTTGTTGGGTTCATATTCTCGAAGTCCAGCTCAACTTCATCACCAGCAGCTTGAGGAGGTTCATTCTGTCGGACTATTTCTGCTGCCTCAATCAAACTTGGGCCTATAAAGGTTTTTTGGTTATATTGATTTTACTTAAGGGAATAGGTGACAGGATAAACAAGTCATGGGCCTGATGGTAAACACACCTGTTCAAGCAGGTGCAGTGCCACTCAGTACTTCAAATCGCAAAGATCTGAGGGTTACTACCACTGCACCCATCAGTGTGAGACATAAGTTGACAAATCCCACCCCTGTAATTTCACCAGCACACTTACCCTTCAAATCGGAACGCAGTAATACTCACATTACCGTTTGGAGGCAGAAATAAGTAAGGTGGCAGTAGTGCCCAGGATGAAGTCTTTCACAAAGAGCTCTACTGCTACTAATCTCTCAAACCTAAGTGACATTCAGCTGCTCTCTTGTTCTATGACTAGCAAATACACAGAGCACTACAAGCATTGAAATAAGATTATCGTACGAGAAAAACAATTTTGAATTACAATTGAATACCTACAGAGACAGGTAACTAACTAGGAACTCCTCGGCAATTATTTTGAAAACCATGACTCACTTACCCATCAGCATATTGATTCCAAGCGAGAGAAGAGTCTTCTCTTTATATGACATCGGTTTGTTCTGTTCTTCGCCCATTTTTGTGTAGATAGAAATTAATCTAAGATTTCTTTATAGGTTATATTCTCACGAATAAATCTCGTTATTTTAGAATTCGTTAAAGTAAAGAATGTTTTTTCACTAACCTTCGTAATTAACGATTACTTAATATAAATTGTCTCTGCAACTAATTCTCTATTTGTTTACAAATTTTTAGGCAAATAGTACACTTTTCCAGCGTAAAATGACAGCTTGTCAAAATGACAAACCAGCGCAGCCAGCTTACTATTCGTTGATTAACGAATATCGTTCGGAAATTTAGCGCGAATTTTAAAATGGCAGAGACAGTTGCAATTCAAAGGTTCTTGGCGATGCAAACGCGCAACTGTATCGATGCAGTCGCATAGTGTCGAACCAATAAAAACGTACATCGCGTTTGCATCGCGATTATATCGCTGCTTAAGTCACGTGTGTACCTACGCAAAGGTAGATACAAATCGACGATTAGCGATTTCATCACTACTGCATCAAACTACTGTTGGGTAATTTTCAGAGAAATGTCAAATAGTGGAAATATTTCTGGAAAAATTCCCGACAAATAGCTCGTGTTATGTTCTGCCTATATAAATATTACTTTAGATTTTATTGTACTGAAAGAAAAGAATCGTGGCAGCATAAGTTGATCAAATTTCATTAAAATGTCTAAAATTGACTAATTTTTTATTTTTATTATTTAATGCTGAGTGACATGATCGTTGACGTTGATCTACCAAAAACTCAGTTTCTATAAGAATGATTTATTCTATTGGAAGAAAAAATCGGGACTGAAGAAGTTGATCAAATTTTACAAAATGTTATTCATTTTGTATGATTTTTTTTATTAAGTACGTAATCTAACTTACACGTTTCATTGTTGTGGGTACACATTCTGTTTGAAGACAGTTCAAATCAATCGTGATCGCGATCCTTTCATTTGCTCGTCTGGCAATAACAAGTAGTACCTACCTAAAAATTAACAAAGTTTGCAAGAGTTTATAACGAAAAACTGTCCTCTGAAGATGGTCTCGTTTATGAAATTAAGTAGAATCAACTTTTGCCACTTACTGCAGGATAATTTTATTGCTTTTCATCCATCATAATTTGCCTTTATTGAAAATAGAGTACTAAATTTACAGATAACCTTATCTAACTTCATAAATACATATAGTATATGGAGTTACAAGTAATAAATACATTGTCAACGATCCTGCAGTTGCTGTTTATCTTATTACTAATCATCTTTAATAAATAAATCAATGTTATTTATATCGTTCTGGCCATGAATTTTCCTCAGTTTTAAACATCCGGTATCCGACCGGATATTGTTCTACTATCCGGAATCCGGCAGGATAGTAAAAATACGCCGGATAGGTCGGATACCGAACTGAGTCTATTAGGATATTAAAAAATTAGTAAATTTTATTACGTTTATTTACGTTTACGTTTCGTATGAAAAATGGTGTGCCGATTATTTCATCACATACAATGAAATGATCGGCAATGATCCTTACATAAAATGAGTAGACCAGCGTTAAAAAATGTTGACCACTTTTATTCATTTATTAGGAAAACTCACGCTTGACCAAAGAATTGACTATCCCAAAATTCTTTTTACAAAAAAAGATTTAAGGGTTCCTAAGGCAGCTTCCTTGTATCTTCTAAGGTTTCGGATTTCTCAACGCTGTCCCATTAAAAAAAAATACTCTGTATAACGCCTTTGTTGGAAGTAAATTGGACACTACGTACGCAAAGAGGAATCCCCACAATAAACTCTTTACTGCAATGTTAGAACGAATTCGGTAATCATTTCTAAGATATTTGTATAAAAAACTTCTTGAGCATGGTATCCTAGAAATCGCTAGAGGTCAGGCGAAAACTGGCGCTTCTAAAAAATATGTTTTTCACTTAATAAGAGGATTATAATTAACCCTTCTCTATTGGCTTAAATTCCTTTTCTATCCCGCCAATAAGTTACGTCACGTCATTAAGTTACGTTACGTCATTCGTCAGCGCAAATACCCTTTGTTCAATTTTCATTTAAACCGCACATTGACACTAAGGGTGAGGCTAGACGAGCGTAATTTTGTGAGTTACGAGTTTTGTTTTTTTGAGTTGCGCAGTTTGCGCTCGACCGAATTTCGGTTGGAGCGCGAGACGAACGTATTCTATTCAGTTGCTTTTAAAGCGTTTCCCGTATAAACGCTTAAAAGCTTGTATCTTAATAGTGTAATACATTCATGAAAATAGTATGCATTTATGAAGCATTAGAAAACGATGTTAGAAAAAGAAAAAGAAGCTCAATATGAAAAGATTAACATATATAAAGGGCAGTTTCATGTATTATACACAAGTTTATGTGAACGTCCAGATCAATTTGTTAATACTACCACATGCCAATAAAAGTTTTTCAATAATTATTAAGCTTAGTAAAACCTTTTATTACTAAGTCAGATACAAATATGAGATAAGCCATCAGTCCAGAGGAAAGACTAATAATAACAATCTAGTAAGGTGTTCAATTATTTATATTTTAATCTCCATATCGAACATTTTCGCACGAAACGTCTATACTCACGCGCATCCCATACCAAATATCAAAGTACCCCTTCCCTCACCCCTACCTCCACTCGCGCCAGCCGGTCGCACGATGTGACCGAAAGTCAATCGTCATTACGCCCGTGAGTCGGCAGATAACTTATTTTGCGTCGTCGTCGTGTGAAACAAACCGTACTTTTATATGAAAAAGAATGCAGTTCTAACTACGCAACTCAAACTACGCGACTCATAACTCACAAAATTACGCTTGTCAGAGAATCCCTAGCCGTGATTGAATCCTTAAATAGGACAAATGACATTGACATGTTCAGTAACACTGAAACAAAATTTAACATCCGTTGGTTTACTATTTGCAGACGGTTATCGCGCAAAGTTATATGGTCCAAATACTCAACCCATAAACAGCCTTTAAATGATTATAACTTACATGTTTAGTATATTTTCTACACTTGTTAAAACTTGAAGTTACTGAACGAAAACGATGGAGCTAGTAAACAGGTTTTTTGCTGTTGTCTGTCATTTTAATTCTCATATTTCGCAATTTTTTTTGTATAATTTTTATAATAATACTAAACTGCCGTACATTCTTATTTTTACTTGACATTGGCAAAATCATTGATTATTTCGATGGGGCCATAACATTTAAAAGAAGAAGAAGACAAAGCTTGCTTTTTATTTTATAATTCATGTAAAAGAAAGCTTCAAAATATTTATAATCGAAGAATATAATATGAGCCTTCGAAGTATATTTTTCCAACATTTTTCAAGTTTTTCAATATTCCAACTATTTGAAATTTTTCAGAAAAGAACTCAACAGTACACCTGTTTGTAATTTCAATGTTAGATGTTCTGAACTATGAGAAAAAAATAAAATTGGGTGCTCGAGTTAATCGGATTATCTAACACCGTAGTAGGTAAATACCTATTATAAATATAAATAAGATAAAAAATACTAGGTTGATCTATTTAATAAAATTTATTAAAATACTTGTGAGTAATAAATAGATTATCTTATCAAATAAAACAAAATGTGTAACAGATACTTTATGTCCTATTACAAGTACCTAAAGTAGGTACCTACGAATCGGTTTGCGGTAACGGTACGGCGAGGGGGTAGTCGCGCGGTAAAGCTTCAATAACTTCTTTCGATAGCTTTTTGTATTCCGTCTGCATTACTTCGAAGATGCGATTCATCAGATTTGGAATGTCTTCCTCTGTAAGACCGTCTGTTGGCACAGGGTCTAGGAACTTAATAATAACATGCCCTGAAAATAAATGTACGTACAGAAATCGTTTTATATAAACATTTAGAACGGTATTTAACCGTTACTATCTCGCATTAAAAAATTGGTCACAGATAAATTACCGCGGTTTTGGGAGATTTTAAAAGCTTCAACACATTTACATTAGAAAATAGTTAAGTAGATTTAGGATTGGAACCCACTTTAGCAGCGTCAGCCCGCTTCACCACTACGTCCATATTAAACTTCTGTTTATATGCGTATTGTATAAAACTCCTGAAAAATGGATTTTAGTAACTGTGACCAAGTGTATACTTAGCAAAAAACTACAGAACTGTTAAGAACCGCGTTACCGTGTTACCACCGCGGTAAGTCTTTAGCATCGATGCAAAAGCCATGCAGTTGCTAATCGTCTACTTTTACACACGCCAGCGATTTTAAGCATCGATGCAAACGCGATGCAACCGCGCGACTGCATCGGTACACGTTTCACGGACACGCGTTTGCATCGCTGCTAAAGGTCGCCGTGTAACCACTCGTATGGTTAACATTGTTGTATTTTGTTTCTTTATTAATATAATAATTGTGTAAATGACGTGGATACATTTAAAGCCATACCTTTATTAAATAAGTACTTCTTAGAATTAATGAAGTAATAGGGAGAAAATACTACTGGGATAATGGGCACTTGAACGTTCACAGCGATTTTGAAAGCTCCCCTCTTAAACGGCATCAGTTTTGTACAGTCCTTGTTCCTCGTACCCTCAGGGAATATCCATAATTTAGTCTGCAACAAAATAGCTCTCAATCTTAACTACTTTTAAAGACTTTGCTATGTGAAAGAACGCATAGTCTTTTTCTCACACTGTTTTTATGTGTTATAAGACCTCCTGCTTGAAACTCAAATAAAACATGAAGTTTGTTTACTGTTTAATTCGTCATGCATTAGGGCACGTTCCCATTATGTCGTGACGACTGAGACTCGTGCAGTTTAAAGTGTCGTGGATTGTATATTTAAATGAAGTTGTTCACATATAGTACAACACGATTGACTGTCATTCACGACTTTTGACGTTACGACGACAGACTGCCGAGACAATGAGAAGGCTAGAACGCTAGTCGTCAGACCATAACTAAAACGTCACTATAAAAATATGAACACAGATAATCGCAGTTACTACTATTGTCGTCACGCTTTATTTATCGTTGTCTCATATCTGCAAAAGACAAGGCGGCTGCCGTAAACCGATAAATTATCGTCACGATGTAGTGGGAATAGCTAGACACGACAGTCGTTCAACGAAAAAATAAACGTCCACGGTGTGTAGTCACGACAGATATTCGTGATATGGGAACAGGCTAGACGCGACAATTGCCCAAAGATAAATAAAATGTTACGGCACAATGGGAACGCACCCTTACTTCCACACAACATCTACAAGGATAAATGCAAATGTGTGCTTTTACATTTTTCTACGGTAAATATTAAATTAAAGTTTTAACAGAAAATACACTGTTACATAATAAAACCTTTGGTAAATAGTGACCAATTAACTTCTGTACTTAATGTAATATGTGATCGGAAATGTACGTAATCCAGTATTCCATACAATACCTCGGTATTCTATACAATATCTTAAACAATCAGTGTGAAATATACCCTATTACGAACTTGAACTATTCTGTACAATATCGAATGTGCATATCGATATCGATTATTTTGTCTTTCATTGAATACTTTCCCAAATCTACGGTTAGCATTCTACACAATACCTTTTTTCTTTTTAATGAGGGGAAACGCTTTATGCATGCCTTCAACCCCGGGGAGACTCGAGGGTTACGTGGGACTGATCGTCCGATGGAGGGCATACCAACTAAAAACCCCCGGAGCACCCTCGTGACCGAGTGTTGTGGGCGCCGTGGGATCCCGCAGATTCACCACTACGACGCCCCAACAATAACTAGACTTTGTACGCAATGTCTTTTCAATGTGTATAATAGTTAAAAATATAAGCTGTTTTATACATTGCGTGAAGAATCCCGATATTGTATAGAATGACGAGGTATCATTGTTTTATACCTTTTTCTGTTAGTTCTGTTAACATATACATACCTTATTCTTAACCAAAACATCGGACATCACCTGAATTTGCTTATAAGCACTCTTCGGATTGTTTCTGTCGATAAAAACTGTTCCAGATAAGTAGGCAGATAATCCAAAAGGCCATACGTAGAATAACTGCTTCTTCGCTATCACAGATAATTTTTGTGCTACTTCCCATATATCAAACATTCCTGAAATCAAATTGATCAGAATTAGTATCAAACACTGGTTTACATTTCTATTGATCATCCATAGTAGCAGCAGAGCTCCTTGTGAAGGAGTTCGTCCAGAGAAGTACCGCTACCTAACCTATTTCTACCGCCTAACAGTAATGTGAGAATTACTGCGTTCTGGTGTGGAACAGTAAAACTACAGATATATGGGACTTATCAACTTATGTCTCAGGGTGACAGGCGCAGTGGCAGTGTTCCTAAGATTTTTGCGAATTAAAGCTCATAGTGGCGGTGCAACTGTTATGGATAGGCGTGTCGCTTACCATCAGGCACACGACTTGTTCATCCCGTCACTTAGCATTAAAATTATAAAAAAAATCATCATGATCATCAACCTAGTTTATCCGTCCCACTGATTGGGAGGATTTAGGCCATAGTCCGCCGCGCTGGCGCGAGTTGAGACCTTAACACGTTTTCCTGTGGTTGTGAACCATCTTCGACGTGCAAGTGTTATCACGATGTTTTCCTTCAACGAAAAGCTCATGTTAAATTTCACATATAAATTCTGAAAACTTAGAGGTGCGAGTCCCGATTCGACTCCACGGCCTCTGCTTGAGACCAAACCTGATTACCACGGCTTTTTATAATTACTAAATTGACAACTAACTGTAATATTTACAATATTTCAATCAATATTTTCTGTAATTTTCCTTGCAAACTCTCCGAAATATTATAACTACTTAACTAAAATAAAATAACTTCAATTGCCGACCTCAATTGTTTCTATTTTATTACACACACATAGATCAAACAAAAGCGAGAATATAAAATAGTAAAGTTTATAATATTCTTTTATAAATAAATATGAAATAGACATGAAGTAGCAACATACCATCTTTTCACATCATCGACTTTAGAGCCTAATTTACCATCAACATAATACAGCCTTACTCAACCTTTATTGAAAAAAAAATTAAATTAAACAAAATGGATTTTTGAACGAATTTTTGTGTCATCACTGATTCCGACTTGACGTCATTGATTAGATCACTATATTATGTAAAAAAATTTTTTGAAGGAAAGTTTACGAAATTTACAAGAACACAAAAACAACCTCGAACCACTCGGCAATCCTGTAGGTGCTGGTAGGAAATTAAAACAAATTAAATTAAAAATAACAGTACTACTTATATTTTTTCAAATAGAAAGACTATTACTTTTATTTGACATATTACTGGTCATTCTTTTGAAAAAAAAAATACTGCATTATTTTGCAGTTTTTTGTTAATATGAAATTTTGCAGGAAAGCAGTGTATTTCTCTTATAATAATAAATTACCAGACTGTAAAATGACTAAATTGTAAGCAAATCAAAATAAAATTAGATAATTGTTAGCTACTCAATCCTGATACAGTGTTGATGATTTTTTCTTGCCCTTATAAAAATCAATTTAATTTATATATTATAAATACCTAGGTATGTAATATTTTAACTTTCATTGTTTTCGTTAAAATCTAATACTTATTGCCAATGAGCATAAATTGCGTACCATGAGTATAGTAAATAATAAAAACCCCTTATGCCTAGTTGAATTTTCTGACTATTATGATTTAGTCTTAGGATCGTATTCTAGAACTCTACTCAATGCTCAAGACAGTATTGCAATTTAAACTCAAGCACTGGAAATACGACCCTAATGGCAGGTACTTGAATATGATTTCGAGTGCTTTACACCATACTCAAATCCTGACGTGAGCATTGAGTAGAGTTCTAGAATATGACCCTCAAAGCATAATGTAATACCAAAGGATTTAACGCATATTAGTAAATAAACAATGTGTCTTCAACATTTCAGTATGCCTAATGTATTGTCGGGCACAGTGAGACTACACTTGTTTTGTTATTGTCAACTGGTATATAACCTGCATTTCCGCAAGTTAAGAGTTAAAGTTCTTTAAATATGTTCATAAATGAACATACGTCAACACGTACTACAAAAATATACGGGGACAATTACATAGGACGCACTATAAGTTTCCGGAAATGGCCACTTACATACATAATATTTAAAAAGTAATTACAACATTTGAAAATGGAACTCTTTGTCTGTAAAATACAGTTTGTTTCATCTGACTGTCGCTTGTTTTTACATTGTAGCGTCATTTTAGAAATTGGTTGTCTACATCACCATGGATTTAACTCGTGAAAATTTTCATAGTATAATTTTGTACGACAAGTGTTAGTTAACAGCTCAGCGGAGTTTCAAAGCAGCAATCGAGTGTATGGGTCTTTAGAGATGAGCCGACCAACCAAAATGCCGTGCGTGCAAGGTGCTTCTAAGCGGATGATTGCTTCTTTTTTAATAAAAGTGTACACGTGGCTACTGTTACTTTGGAGAATCGTTGTACCGTGAATAGTGATTGTTACACGACCATTTGTTTGCCGGAAGTTGTTAACAAACTCCGTAAAAATAACCGTAAACGCGATACCATCTTGCACCACGATAATGCCAGTTCTCACATGGCCAGACAGACAAATGAATTTTTAAGGTGAACAATGTTGATCTTATGAGCTATCCCGTGTACAGTCCCTAACTGGCACCTTGTGACTTTTATTTATTTCCAACAATTAAGAACCAATTACGCGGTCAACGATTTTCACCACCTGGGGGCCTACTATGAGCTTATAAGCCAGCCAGTCAAGTTCCTTGCAATTCACTTGACGTGGTAAAACTGAATTGCTTAAATTCGTATCTTGACCTACACAAAGTTGAACGGGAATGGCATGACAGGATGATGAGTTTTACTTTTTAAACGTTAATTATTGTCTCTGGCTGGCTAGCTGACATCTAACAAGAGCGAGATGGATGTACTATCATGGGAGCGTTCAAGCACTATTAACCGATTGTGTTGAAAATGAGAATAATTAAATGTTTTTATTAATTTTATTATTGATTATACTTACTACGTTGTTTTGTAATATCGGCAACTTTTCAATCATACTTTACAATTTGTCGTACGACAAAATTACACGTCCTGCCTAGTCATTATCATTGAAATTAATGAGGTGAGTTTGTAATTTGATAACATAATTGGATAGTATCTTGTATTCGTACATTTTCATTGATTGCGACTATAGTCAAATTTGGCACTGTTTAAAAGTTATTTTACGATTTTCGGTTAATAAAATTATTAAAATGATTAAAATTCCATTTAAAAATTGCAATTACATTCATGCCAATAATTTCAACAACACTTTAAAGATTGGAAACTCGAACTAAAATTTTCAAAAAACACTCAATAGTTAATAGTATTTATTTAAAATATAAATGAAACTGAAAATATAATAAAACTTAAACGAAATTCTTAAAAATGTAACAAAATCTAAAAAAAATTAGTCACGGAGTAACTTTTTTGAATTGCTTATTTTTACAGATGAGGCCGCCACTTGCATGGCAAAAGCACGTCATGATACGATTTTGCTGTGAAAGAAAAGTCAAACGGATATCGAATGGGGAACGTAAACTGCTTGGATAGTTAATTGTTTTTGTGAAGTCATAGTACGAATTTAACAGGTAATCGAACTTACAGGCTTAAATAGGATTGCTCGAAGAGATCTCATAGTAGGCCCCCTGAAGCTGTCAAGGAGTATGAAAAATATGTTTCAGAGATTGTCACGGAGGAGTGGCATAAATGTTTTCGAAATTGGTTCATTCATATGAAAACGCTAACGGAGACTATTTTGAGAAACTATAATTTAATTTCTGACCATTTTTAGGTTTTTTTTTTATCCATTCCGGAAACTTATAGTGCGCCTCACATACATGAAGGAATACAATTATTTCAAGTTCAGCTATACAAATCATAATAATCAGACTGTGCCTAAATTCTACATGAATCGTACTAATATAATATACATAAAAGGGAAACTATTCGTTGGTTATAAATTTGACTTGTTATTCTACTAATAAGTACCTACACTTAAAAATCATCAATTACAATTAATTTTTATTATCAAAACTGTTATTATAGCTTAAACATAAAAGTTCTGGGTATATCGTATCACTGACTTTTGTAGATCTACTAATGACTAATATTCTTGTAACAACGCACTATTTTCACGTACGCATCGATTAATCAACGCAGAGACTTCATTCCGGCTTGTACATACGTCACGTAACACGCACGCGCGAGACAGACTATTATTTGTCAATAAATTTAAATTAACAAACGCTAAATGTTAATCCAAACTTATCATAATACATTGTTGGAAACCACATCCAAATTGTTTCAACCATTGTGGAGATTTGACACACAGACTAAAATTCTAAAATATATATATACTAAAATATTAAACGTAGGTACCCACAGGTCAGCTTCTTTAAGATATTATTATATGTCCTAAAACTCGATAATTAGCTTAATTTTGTTTCTACAATTTAATAAGTGCCGGTGTATTATTGCTTAAGACGTTAAAGGTATCGACTCAGTTACTGAGCCACTCACTGCAATACAAAATTATTTATTATATGATATACAGAAAAAGTACCCGGTCTGATTTCACCTTTAATGTCCGTGTCGTCCGTTTAGAAATAACGTTACAAAGTACCTCAGAATTTAAGTATAGTTGGTAGGTACTCACCGAATATATCGAGTGACGACTGGTGGTTGGACACAATTACAGCTCCACGGTCCTCAGCTAGGATATGTCCATTTCTCAGCTCCCATCGCAAGCCAAACAATTTTGTCATGTGCTTCGTTACTTTTGCGATCACTCTGAAAATGAACATTGTAACAAAAATTTTCCCTGCTTATTTCAAGCGTCATTCATAACATAATACTGTAACAATCATACAATAATAATAATATATTTTAGGCCCTGGAAGAGGCGACACACGGTGTAAAATAAATACGTATTATAATATTAATAATAAGCGGTCCTGGTCGGTACGGCACGTATTATTCGTGGGTTTTATACGGTAATCCCTGGCCCACTGTGCCATTGCCGGGGAATACTTTTTTTCCATCCTCTAAGGGGAATACTGTCTGTCACATAAAAAAAAAATACATTAATCTTTATGGCTATGGGAAAATAGAGTCCAAAATATATATCAAAAACAATAATAATAATCTTTTATTCATCGGATAACAAAGGCTCACAGGCTCATATTTCGTATTTACAAAAACTATGCGTAATCATTCTTGTAAGCTAATTTTTATTTATTTAAATGTATACCTTGAGGATTAACATACATAGAATATAATAAAACACTATTTCTAACTAATCTACACGAATTGCACTTGTCGGCAACGTGTAGCGCAATCTAGTGTAACCACCGGCCGCGTAACCGACGATACGACACCCTTCGACTAAAATTTTTCCTTCATGAAGGTCGACAGATGTTCGGTTGGTACTCTCACCACAAAAGCATTGAAATTCACGTTGTGACGAGACTCCAATGTGTGTATTTGGTTTTATGTCTGATGTTCTCCACTATCTCCTCAGACTTCGTGGAGTAATGCAGCCGCGACAGGTACAGCAGCGTCGTCGGTGTTGCCGGACGCAGCAGGAAGTTCGATCCTGTCCCAGCTGTGCCACACTGGTTACGGCTTGTGGGCTTCCTCTTTTTCTTCTCCACTTTTGTGAAGCCGACCAAGTCGCACCGATGTACCGACTAATGTTAATATTAAAAAAATAATAATCCACGAAGTCTATACACAGTCTATTTACGTCCCACTTCAAATGGCGCTAGAGTGGCCAATATATTCGCAGTCCATTCTGTGTCAATATATTTTATTATATTGACATTACAGGCACACGAGACTTGTCAACTTCTCTCGGGATGACGGGCGCAGTGGCAGTGCCATTGCCCCTCAGATCTTTGCGATCCTCGCGTGTCCTACAGACTTACGAGAGTCCGTAATGCTTATACTACCGCCATCGCCAGCGTCTCCTGGACCCACGGTTGCCCACAGCGCGAAGGCGGTAATTGAAACATTATTTTTGTTAATTTTAGATGTTTTGTATTTGTGTATTTTTTACCGTCCGTGATACATACAATCTTAACATACAATATTTTTCATCACATTTGCGAGGAAATATAATGTTTATTTCTTGTACGAGTAAATAACGTCTATAACACAATAATTAAGGATATTGCAAATTGGGGTTTTTATGTTTTATTTTAACAACATATCGCCAGCTAACTATTCTTCCATAGATAATACAACTCGAACTAAAATGTAGTAAAAAGCAAAGACACATACCGCCATGATGGATTGTAAAAAATTTATTGCTAAATTTTATTATAGAAAATAATTAAAAACAATTATAAGAAATTCTTATTAATAATTAATTAAGTAGTATGTGGCTGAATTGCAATTATATTTTTGTTTAGATAACGTTTTAAGCGAATGTTTTAATTTTGAACTTAAGTAACCGCCTTGCTTGAACTTGAACCTGACGCTATGTAAGGAAGTATGTCCTGCTACAAATTTTAAAAAAATCCTTACCGACCATGTCTGTAATGGGAAGAAAAAAGGCCCGAGGGTTTTATTTGGGTGTCATTATAGTCAACTTAGCCATGATCGACACGAATTTCATCGCGCTCAACCCGCACGGCCGCCGCGCGGTCTCCGAGCGGAGTCCGCGTTGCCGCCGCGCAGCGATCGCGTGCGTCTAACTGTCATGGCAAAATGAGCTTAAATGAGCGTCTCGGACACGCGGGTGAGACTGGCTTGAAATTGGTCTACGCGCTGCGGCCGGGGCGGCAGTCGCGCGGTTGTATTATTCAGAGGAATTTAAATGTTGTTGCCTAGTAAATAGAATTCAGATTCGCCATTAATGTACATGAAGGCGAAGTAATTGGGCGATCGCGCGAAGTCTTTCTCCTCGTGTAACTGGGCGCTCATACTATTTACGAACAAGTGAGTGTGTTTTCTTTCAGAATACTGATTAGTGACGGTCAGCAACGGGCAAGTGTATCGCTTACCACCAGGTGCACAAATTATAAGTATTGTCACAAAATGTTTTTTTTAGGTTACTACTATGATATTTACGTACTATGATATTTACTTATTTAAGATTTTCCAACATTTGATTACTTAGATTATTACAATCTTAATAATGCAAGCTCTGAACACCCTTAAAACTAAATGTATGCACTTGCAATTAGTAAAAGAAATGTAAAATTGACAACATTATCTCACATCAAGTACAAAAGAAAATCAACAACAGCAACAATTAAAAATTTGAATAAACATATTAAGTTCTTAGGTTTTTCGCGATTGTTACACATCGGAAATGAAACTATTTTTCCGGATTTGAATCGCGTATATTTGTTTTTTCAAACAAACCGACGTTTCGGGCCCTTTACAGGTCCCATGGTCACGGTTGACTGAGGTGGTACAGTCTTCAACCAGTTATGTCTAATATTAATGCAAACCACCCTATTTTTTCACTATAATTACAATAGTTATTAATTAAATACCTTATTTTTAATTTTACAAAGAAAACATTTCAATTTACGCTACATTAAGTTTCACAAATTATTTTATTGAATGAATTTTTATTAAGTTTAATTTATTATTAATTATTAATAGAAATTAGAATAAACTAAAACATATTAATTAGTACTGCAGTCTTATCTCTGTTTGGGATTTTTCATTAGAGGAAATACTGGATCCCAAACTGGTGGTACGGAGAAACCATCTTCCCTGTTGAAATTAGGATGTTTTTTAATTTCAATGGCCTCTCGCAGCATCCGGAAAAGTAGTTTCATTTTCTATAAATATATTAAGTTTATAATAAGTTTGTAGGTGTTTATTCGTTTCTTGTACCTATACAATCCTTGATACTACATAAGCTACCTTCTGGAAGTAATAAATAGATATAGTTACCTACACTAAGTGCCATTTATTATGTCAATAGCGATCATTCACTCCATCCGACCACTGTATACGTTGTTTTGTGAAAACGATACTCTCCAATGTTCCCAGCAACAAATCAAACAAATCAATAGCAATATTAATAATTACGTAATAATGTGGCAGACAACCACACCAATTACCTGGTCTAGGAAATTCCTAATTATGGAATTCCCTGTATTATGAGTACGAGAACAACGGAATTCACTCTTGGGCATAACCCAGAACACTTAGACCTGAACCAACTTAGAAAAGTTCATTTCCTAAATTCGTCCTACTGGACCTAAGGAATGGAACCCGGGACCTCATCATCCAGCGTCCAGTAGCAGTAGAGCTCCTTGTGAAAGAGTTCATCCAGGGAAGTAGGTACTGCCACCTTACCTATTTCTGCCGCCAAGCAGTAATGTAAGCATTACTGTGTTCTGGTTTTGAAGAGTAAGGGTGCTGCTGGTGAACTTACAGGCACATGAGACTTGTCAATTTATATCTCAGGGTGACGGGCGCAGTGGCAATGCCCCTACTGTTATGGACAGATGTGTAGTATAGACTAGGCAATATGATTAGAAATAAGTGCTGGCTGAATGAATGTAGGTTTGTGTTTAGAATTATACTTTTTTAAATAGGATTGTCAAAAAAAAAATTTGCTTGTTCTAGAACAAGCTTCGATCTGAAAACACGCAGTAAATCTTTATTCATTAATATCATCCTCGTTTGTCTTTAAAAAGTGCCTCTCGCTACGCAATCACACGACTACGTCCCGTTACAGTAGCTTACCATCAGGCACACGACTTGTCCGTCTCGTCACTTGCTATTATAAAAAAAAGTCCACAATGCGAACGATTAGGCCACCGACATCGTCAAAAAAATTAAACGAAACCACGCAAAAATTTAAACCTAAATTCTTATTTCCGAAACTTCACCACCGTAAGCGTTCACCGACATAGTATGTTTGATTAATGTAAAACAAAATGGCTGATAGGTGAGCTTCTAGCGTGAAAAGTAGGTAAAGGAAACAGGGATAAGATTAAAGTCTTTTTTAGTGAACCGTAGTTTTTATATGGATTTTAAATGAAAACATTTTATATTTTGAAAATTATAAAGTTAAAGCAACTGAATTCGTTTTTATGCACTGAGTTTTATAAATTACTTTTAATGTGAAGTGGTAAATTACTGTAAAGTAATTCATGTTGTTTTTTTTTATTACATTTAAAAATACAAGCATTCAAATGTAAGATAACTATAATACCTATACGACTTAAGTGTCATTTAAAGTAATATTGTAGAAAAAAAAATGTGTGTTACACCACTATTAGCGAAGATAGCCTCAAGTTATAATTATAATAAAAATGAGATAGTAACAACATATAAATTCAGAGCGAATTAAATCTCAATTTCACCTTTTATTAAGTCATGGGCCTTCACAGTGTTACCACAGTATCACAAAATATTCCTTACAGTAGCGCAACGCCTTTAAAGTTCGTGCGATATCGCCACTCGTGAAGGTACTTACGCAGATGTGCAAAGGTGATCAGATCACACAATGAAAAAAAAAAGTAATTATTAGTATAACGTAATTATTTATTAACAATACATATCAAATAGTTAAAAAAAATTATTAATAATCTAGTTATTTATATTAAAATACTATAATAATATACTAATACTAAATAATTACTACTCAAACAATACAAATATTAACTTTAACTACAAACCACAAAAAAAATGCATCTGTTTTATCTGCATTCAATGAGTGTACTGTATATTGTTTACTACATCCATGCTTAGGTTTCTTTTGTGCTGGTGATTACTGAATGGCGATCGCACGCAGTTGTGACTTTATACTCTCCTTGCTTTTGTGGCTTTATTTTTGTTTTTAATATTAATGCATCCAATCATGATTATAAAATTTGGTAGGTACTGAAGTTGGTTGTTTTTTTGTTGTTTATAAAAACTAAAATTATACTGGATTTTGTAAGAAATGTATGAATGTACCAAAATGAAATGTTAACCACCTCTCTCTGTGTTCTACCATTGATATTTTATAAGCTTACTGTATTATACTTAGTTATTGTAATAGACTAAGTTGCTGTTATTTTTAAGCAACACACTTCACAAACGTAAGACCTAGCTACCCACAGTACAGGGGACCCTAGTTTGGGAGCTAGGCATATCTCTGTACCTATTTTTGTGTGCTTTGCAATAAAGAGTAAAGTTTAAAGTTATAAAAATTTAGTAGTGTTGCACTGACAAATATTTACGTGACACTTTATTTGACGTTTTCGTTTTCTGGATATTTAACTATATGTATAGTGTATTCGCCTTCGGGTGAAAAATGTAGAGTACATATAATAATGTATTGAAGCAGATGGTAAAACGGGAATAGCATTGCTTTTTAATATACATCCATCTTTCGAAGTGTGAGTCACATACATACATGTTTTTAATGAAATATTAAATCCCTGTTGTACTTCGTTGTACAACCATGTACAGAACAGTTATGCACTATTACAACGATTTTCGTAGAACTCACTCAACGTATTCAAAAATAATTTAATATCAACCCTTATCCTGAAACAAAAAGTAACGAGAATAGACACTCTCCGCCTCTCCCTAGATTTAGATACCGCACCACGCACATTGATGGTCACATTGACTGAACGTCAACAAGGCTATCCCCGCTATTCCCGCTAAGACGGATTTACCGCTTTGAAATTCACTTACTTGCCGCTGAAAAAAATAAATAATGCAATGGATTAACAGTGCGCTGTCTTTACAAAAACCTGGAGTTGGTCATACGTATGAGTTCCTTGCTTTGGATGACGAAGGTGGTCTAGTTTATCTCACTTAAGATACTATCCAAATATACAGAGTAGCAGAGTTGGAAATCCGAGAAATAATAAACAAATCAAAAAAAATTCACACGAGGCCGTCATTAAGTAAACCTCTTCTGATTAATAAGATTTTACCATATTTTGTCAGCAATAACATTTTCATTTGTCTTGCCATTCATCAATTTGATCAATTACCAACAGAAAACCATCTAGTAAAATTAATTTAGGCGCTCGCGGGTTCATATATTGACGTGCGTTTTCATTATTTATGTTAATCTATAAGATCTTCTATTACAAAAAGATGTTGTATAATAAGCTCATTTTACTGGAAGGACAATAATTTTAATATTTGAAGTCAATTAAAAATTAAAGTCTTATTTTTTTTAAGTAATCAACATTTTTTTAAAACATGTAAAATAAAGGACTTGACTATCTTATTCTAGTATTTTTCTTCTATATTAATATTATGACTACTTGTAATCAACAAATACTTGAAGAAAAATTATTCTATTTAGAATTGATTAATTGAATGGAATACGCGTGTTTACGTGTATTCCGTTCAATCAATCGCTTTAGAGTGACCGGAAGGAGGTTTCCATCACTAAATAGTTCTTATGACGTCATAGTGGGTACAAAAAATGTGGCACGCTTGGTTTTCAAACAAATTGCTGTACTTGCAGCGTCTATCTAGATATATGCCTGTGGTTACAACACATTTTCTTTCATTACTGCATTCAACATTCAGTGACTGCTACCAATAGACCGGCTCTTGAAAAAATAACAGACTATCCCGCCTTCATTACAGGACAGCCAGAAAATTTCATCCTCATAAATGACTTTGCTACCTCCCTCCCTTCGAGAACTCTTGACTTAAAAAAAGTACTTAGACTTACCATACTATTGAAATTAATATATATTGAAAAGGCACATTCTACGACAAACACAAGTTAACTCAAGATCTGGCAATTTGCCTGTTAATATAATTTCGTAGTGAAGACTTAGCTTTACCTTTAATTTAAAAATGTAAATCTAAGTTCTGTAGGGCTAGCGCAATAAGGCGGGACTTGCGCAAGAGCGATATAAAGCGCGAGATCTCTATGTGAAACTAGCAGTATCTCGCTTTCACACAGTAGCGCCCCATCGTGCTAACCCTACTGGCAGTATGACTTAAACGCTATAGCCTAACCCGAAGGGCGAAAAATTGTACTAGTATCACTTATATGCTATAATTGTTACGAAACGTTATTGTTCCTTTGTAATATAGATAAATATGAGATTCCATTTAAAGTGATTGGGATGATAGAATGAATGTGCCCCGCCGGACGATATAAGCAAATACAATTTGTGAAATATAATCTCCGGCTGAAATACAATGTACTGGGACTTATGAAATATAACACATTTCGTGAAATTCTGAAAAAGTACCGTTTTCTTACAAAAATGTGCGTTATATATAAAGATTATTAGGATATAAAGATTATTGCCAATTCGTGTTAACGCTTAAACCATTGTCTATGGCTCGGGCTTAAAGTGTCACAGACCACTATATTATCAACTTGTTTGCAATAACCTACTTCCGCCTGAAAAAAACCATGTAGGTAGTTTAAGTACCTGGGGCCTTACCATGGACTCTTGTTACGATTCAGTTTAGGACCCAAAATGAATCGTTGTGAGACGGCGGCGCTACATGAAGTGTATATCACCATCACGCTTTTTTCTCGTTACGAACCTATACTGAACTGTAATAAGAGTTCATGGTAAGGCCCCTGGTCATTAATCAACTTACGTCATTATTATTGACACACAAATTGATAATTGATAAGTAAGTCGATAATTCTGTAATAAAAATTTAATTCAAGGATATGGTTTTTGAATTATTATATAGCATTTTGCTGAAATAAAAATAGATTAACTATGTGCCGTTATCAGCTTATACCATGTTTGATTTAGGGTGCAAAAAACATTTGCTATCTATTCTCCCATTTCCGCACGAATGAACCACTGACCTACAAATATTGGATAAGAAGAATTTCGATCGTAAATTGAATAATCGATAATTAGATCATTCGATGAAAATTCGAGAAAGCTCCCACGTTAAACTTTGCGTATCCCTACCCATCAAGCCTTCTAGGCTTAACCAAAAAAACACACACATACATCACACAAATATCGAATGCACGAATGCCTTTAGCCTGTCTTAAACTACCTAATGCAAGCAAGTAAAAAATATAAAACGCTAGATTGCTTTCTAAGGATGGCACTAGTTATAAAACTATAAGTAACTATACTTCGTAATTAGTATTTTCGTAATATTTAGAGGAACGCTTAAAAAGGTTGAATTGTGAGAACAACATTCCTATGAACCACTCGCCACGTGTACCAGAACCACAGGAACTGTCCAGAACGTCTAATCGAAATGAAAAGACGACTGAAGACATTGTTTTTTTAAATTGAATGTTCTGGTATGTGTGTAGTGGCTCTTGTGAACAACGTTATCTAAATAATAATTACGTCCATGAGT